ACCTGGAGTTACAAGCACAGATTCCAGACCTCAAGGACTCAGGTGGTAACCTTGGGTTGTTGCCATTCGTTTCAGCTCATCTTTGTGCCTTGTGCTGTTATGATAATGAACTCTCTTTGCTGGAAGCAACTGCATATTTTAAATCAACATAAAAATCCAAATGATAGCTGCATGTATTCAATGTACTGTCTATTAGGGAAGGAAAACAGTCAAATTAAAGTTTTTGCTCTATCTCATATGAATGTGTAGCTTGAAAAACTTCAGTATTATCCTCAAGAAATTAGGATACAAAAGTCAGGAACTGGCACAGTATGTTCTCAGCCAGTTAAATGCTACATGTTATTTTAGAAACATTGCTGGAAGTTGTTAACCTCAGGCAATTGAAATACATGTTTGCAGAGGAGTAAAGAGCAACTAGGGAATCTGTTTATTTACTCCCATAAAAGCTATTCTTAACTGATATGCAGAGTTACTATTTCAGAATTAATTATAAACCAAGCTCATTATAAGTGGCATCTTTGCTGGTTGACTTTAGTTTTGTTTCTGAGAACAATATTAACAGCATACAACTATTAGTTGGTTTATACGTAATAGGCAAAATTAGCAGTTCTGTTAATATGAAAGTGTGCTTGACTTCTGCAATTTTCAGAGAATAAAGAACCATTATGAGCTCTTCTCTTTGGGGAAATATTTTTAAAATTCAGTAACTGACATATGGTGTAAGAATATTCAGTTCAAAGGAAAAAATAAAACCAGACAGAAAACACAGACTGGTTTATATTTTTATGACTATAAGCAGTATTCCTCCAATACGGTAGGGGATTCATCCCAACATGTCCTTCACTGAGGCACTAGTATTTTATAATGACTTTCTACAAGTAATTTGTGATCTTGACCGTCTCTGTCCATTGCTCTTACGAAGACAAGCTCCATGATACTGCACTTGTCAGAGTGTTTTTCTGTTTCCAGAAATAATTTGTGTCTCCTGTCAGGCCCAGCACACTGTCTTTCTCAAAGAGCCTCTTCTGGGTGGCCATCTGGAAGCATCACCTCAGTGCAAAACAGGCAGGCTGCTGGATTTGTGTTGGCTGACTTCTCCTCAGTACTGGCTACTGCCCTGAAGGCAGCATTACATTTTATTCCTGGGCTACACAGCATGGTAACTAGATGTGCAGACATGACATTCTGATTGCTAAATTCTGGGCCTATTGGCTTTTGTGACAAGACTCAGAGAAAGACCCAGGAAAAAAAGGATAAAGATGCAGAGGAAGGAATCAGCTAAGGACAGAGATAATGATCCAAGACTCCAAAACCAAGCAAGTGCATGGAGGTGTAACACTGTACCTGAAATGCAGCAATGATAGCCCTCTCTCATGCAGTGTTTTGGAAGAAAAAATGGAAAGACCATCAGATTTTAAAGGAAGAAATGTGCTGAAGAGCAATGAAAAGCCAGAGCCAAGGTACTAAAAGCAGGCAAGTCCAAACAATGGAGATACTAGATTTTGAAAGTTCTGAAATGTAGACCTTTCTAGTCAGAAAACATTACAGAAAATGGAAGTGGTAATTAGCAAACAGGAGGAAAAGCAGAAGAATCCTCCCTAGATCTAAGAGAGTTGGGAGGATCAATGAGAAAAGTGGAAAACATGACTTATTTAATTAATATTATAGTCTTTTTCTGCCTTTCTTCATAATTAAATTGTAAAACATGGCTGCATTTTTTCCTTGCCATGCATGGTGCTTAGATATAAATCATCTATGGGCTTGTGACTACACTTCAGTGTAACTAATGACATGAAAGTCTGTAGACTTGGAATGAAGCAGCATTTATAATAAAAAAGATCAGCTTGGTGAAAGGAATACTAAAAGTGTTTCTACTATAATATTACAACTTTTATGACTTTTCATGTTACTGTGCTTAAGGAATGTGTATGATTATTTCTAGGTCTAAGAATCATGAATCATTCAGTTTCTGCAGTACGTCTCTGGAGAACAGTCTCAAATGCAGACTTTGGAGAGTTCCCAGATTACCTGATGGAGCTGGAGAGACTGATTCAAGGTCTTTCACGGATAAATTATCAGCTTTCCTAAAATGGCATTTAAATATTGTGCTTCAGAGGTCAGTTGGAGCTACTCTGGCATGAATTGAGGGTAGTCAGACATATGGAGGTTAACCACCACCTAGGTTTAAAAACAGATGAAGAAATGTTTAGGGTTTTTTTAAATAGCTGTGTTACTTTGCTGTTTTATCTATCCAATTTAGTACCTGTAAAAGTTAGCACTGTCACCAGAATTCTCATCATCTAAAACTATTGCATCTAGAGTAAGTGTTGAGAAAGACCTGGTCATCAACAAGTAGGGTAACATCTAAAGACAGGATATTCTTACTTGTAGGGATGAGTAGGAACCCCTGGTTTCATTTCACAGTCTATTCTTTGAAGGGAGGAAGAGAACACAGAGCCATTCAGTTACCATATACCTGTTCTTTCACATTACTGCAAATCTCTGAGATTTCAAAAATTAAAAATTAATTTGAAAAAGCAGAAATGGTTTTCGATTATTCCAAACAGATGGCTTAAGGGGAAAGATGCAATTTCTACTGCTAACAATAGATGTTAGAAAGTTAATTGATCTAAGTGTGGAAAGGACTAAACAAAATTTTCCCTTCATTTAATTATGCGATGTAAGCTAAATATTTTTCATGAAAATATCAAAATGCAATAAGAGCAAATATAAAACTGTTTTTGCCATGCATATTTTTAAGTCAGTGCCATTTCCACAATGGTGTGGAGAATAGAGCCTGTAGAAAAATCAGTGATCATTCTTTCTTCCCTGGTCGTTTGCTGGTGTTGTTCCTTCAGTGATGCCATAGAAGCTAATGGAATTTTTGCTACAGATTTTAAATGGAACACATCAAGCTCTTTGTGTCATAATGAAGAAAGATATGTTGAAATTTTGTTAGTTACTTTTGCCTTCTAAATGTAAAAATGCTCTATTTACCTGCTCTTGGATCTGATCCTACTAAATAGGAAAAATTCCTATTTAAATCAGATATTTATTGGTTATGGTGGAGTCTTTCAAAAGATATCTCACAGAAATGTATTTTTTCCCATAAAGGAAGACTGTGATATATATTCTTTTAAAAAGAATAAAAATATTAAAACTACATTGACTCCACCGTGTTTAGTTTTGCTACTTAGTTTCTCTTGGCTAAATGTCAATGAAGAGGATGATTTTTTCCCAAAGACTATGTGATTTTTTTTTTTTTAAAAAAGAGAACTTCCAATAAACAAAGATAAGCTTCTGAGAAACGGTTACCCATTACAAGGGATGCTAGATATTTAATGCAGCTCCTGTGGATCAGAAGCATGGGTCTGGATTGACTATTCCATAGAAATTCACAACGTGTGTTGAAATGCCATTGCTACTGGGTGGTTTATTCCCACCCACCCCTAACCCTCGCTAGGATCCGGGTGCTGTTGAGCAGCAGGGAGCCAGGAGGCCGCTGCAGACATTTATCAGGGAGGGTTCTGCCATCTAGTGGAAAATACACAGCTGGCACCAACCACACCAACATCCAAAAACCTTTGTTTAAAGGCTAGCTGTGGACTGCTGTATCTAATCTGCCAGAATAAAAAAAACCCCAAAAAACAAACAAAACCCAAACCCACAACATATTCACTTCCAGTAGTATTGCCTCTTACAAGTATTGCAAAATATTGCCTCTAATTTATCCTTGGCCATATTGGCTATTCCTCATTCATCCTCATTAATATCCGTCTATTCAGTTGTATTAAATAAACTACTTCTGGAAGACATCAAAAGACGTCACATCATAGGGACAGATTTGACATAAAGGAAACAAATCCAACCTTGATTCTTAAGTTTATGGCTACTATATACTATAGCTTCCCATAGGCATTAGCCCATGCCCTCTGCCTCCTGCATGCAAGTCCTAACGGCTCAAGAGCCTTCTGCTTCAGATCCCAGAGAAGGTATTTTATATCAATTTTATGTCAAAAGCGTGCCCTTATTTTTCTGCCATCTGCAGCTACTGAGTCAGTGGAGGAGCTGGGACAGGTTGGTCAGTCGGCCCCGCTCCCTCCCTCAGCCATAATTGAGCCCAGCCCCGAGCGCCTCGGGTTGTTAAGCGAGGTTCTTAGGGCAGGCAGCCGCCATCCCACCGGGGGTAGAGGCAGGGCACACCGGGCCGCGGGCCCCACGCCGCCGTGCCCGTGCCCGTGGCCCTTCCACCCCCGCGGCCACGGAAAACGGGCCGCAGGGCCGCCACGAGGGGCGCGCCCGAGGGGGAGGCCGCGGCGGACTACATTTCCCAGGTGCCTGCGGGGGG